CACTTTTAAAGCGCTTATAAATCATTTGTTCGGGCCAAAGCGTTTTTCCAGGTAGGCTTCAATGGAGCGCGCAAACTGAGGACTATGTTGATAAACCGCTTCTCGAATACTTTGGTGACTGTACAGTCTTCGTAATGCCTCGTCATTAAATCTCAGTGCCTGGAAAAAAGAAAACCCCTACTACATACAGTGAAAATTAGAAAACGGCTGATCGAATATGTCACAAAAACGTTTAGTTAAAAAAAAAAAACAGCAACCAGCGCCTTCGAAGAAGGACACTTAAGCAACAATAAAGCAAACACTTCACAGTGTGAATTTTGATTGCTTGTTAATGCGGATCCAGGTTGCCAGAGCTTTTGAGAGGACAGAATTTGGACCTCTGAGAACTTTCAAACCAGTAACGTTTAGCATCTTACGAAAGAGCGCAGGGGATCACTCACGGATGCGCTGAAGGACCACCAAGCTGCCAAAAGTAATTTGTTTCACCACCGAGAAAAACAGACTCTAGAATTGCCTACAAGTGCTGAAGCTCTGCTGGCAGTAATCAGAGGCAGCTTACTAGCGAAGGTATGAAACGATGAAACGAAAGCTGTTGAAAAAGATTAAAGCAAAGCTGCGCCTTTTCAGAAAACGGGAGAAATTATCAAAAGCACCGGTGCTGGTGCGCGCTGACGATCAAAGGTTCGACTTCCCCGGTGGTACAAGCAATCTCTCTCTCTCTGCGACTTGTTCGTTCACAGCACGGTGCACTGATACTGAGGTCTGAATGCACATTGGTTTGATTGCAAGCAACAGAATGAATTACGAGCAGCCTTGCCGCCGGCTGTTGCCACAGCCAGCCTCTCAAAAACACACAGTGCGCAGCGAAGCATCACTCACATAGGCGAAATCATAAGGCGGAGGGGAATCATCTTTCTTTTTCAATTCTTCCTCCTTCTCCTGCGCACCCATCACGATGCAACGGAAGCGTCCGGATGTAGCGCGCAATGAGAGCTCGTCGAACAAGAAACCAACGGAATCCGATTTCGACGAAGCCTGAAAGGGCAATGCAATGAAACAACCAAGCGCATCACCCTAAAATCACCTCCAGCCTCCGCCTCTACAGCACTACGCACAGTCCCTCCGATGCCACGTCTCTTCATTGAGACTTCTCCCGGCAGCAACTAAAGTGAGGCGAATCTGAAAGCATATCTTTCTCTTAAAGCGAAACAAGCCACCGACCCTCGTTCCTTGAGAAAAACAAACTCGCACACCGACAGCTCTCCGCCCCCTATCATCCCCGGAACAGTGAAGAATTCCTATCTACAACAAACATGCCCTCAGCAAATTCCCACCCTAGGTATCTGATTGTTTCTGGAGGAGGGGCCGAGGGTGGGGGGAGGGGGGATAGCAACGGGGTGGGCAGTGTCGAGGGGCGCACACTCTGGCAGCTCCCGGTACACAACCGTGATAGACCGACGCTCCGATGCAACGAGCCAGAAGAACCAGTCTTGCTCGGGCTGGGCAGCGATTCCAGAA